GCATTAAAATATATTATCTCAACAGTTAATTTAGTTATTTATTTTTAATTATTCATATATAATTAGAATATATATTATTCTTTTTATCTTTTTAGGTGTGTGATTAAAATATTAAAAATTACTAATCTATAGACAATGTTAATACCCATGTAAATATATTTTTAAATGAGTAATGGTAGGTGTTTATTTATTTTATAACTATCTGTAAAATATTTCAACTTAAAAAATGATTTAAAATAAAAATAATTTAAAAATGTAATAAATATTAATATTATTAAAGGTATAATACGATCAACTAATATTGTATTTAATAAAAAATATATACACATAAATAATCATCAATTAATAATGTACCGTTAATCATGAGTATTAAGCTTGAAAAAGTTTTGCATTCGTGTGCAGTTATACCAATACTTTGATTTAAAATTCATTCAAGCACAACTTTAAAATGATTATATTCTTCTATGTCAATAATTAAAACATCAATTTTTTGTATAGTTAGAAAATAATGTTATAATTAAATGTATTGATGTTTATACAATTTTTAAATTAAAAAATATTTCATATTTTATTTCATTCATCTAAATTGTTCATGTTTAGAAATCGCATTGATTTTTTTTTCATAAGTATAACTTAATCAGATTAAATTAAAAACTTCATAGGTATTTTTTGTCCATTTTTTTTATATATAAATTAACCCATTAACTTGACAGAAAAAAAAATATTGCACTAAAATTTCAAACTATCACTATTTTTAATAATTAAAACCCATAGAGTTCATTTTAACCTTCTTTTTAAAAAATTTTAATTAATTTTTGAGTTATTTTGAGTGGAAATGTATATCTTTAAAGATACATCATCTCAAAGAAGCTGTTTTCAATTTCGTGTCTTTTAAGATATATTACCCCATAGACTATATTTTATTTTTGTATCTTAATGAACACATCACTATGAATTCTTCATTTTGAATTTAGTATCTATTAGTATACATTACTTAATTATGTCTATTCTAAGTTTTATTACTAAAAAGATACTAAGTAAAGCTACGTAATAAAAAGTCGAAAAAAATATTACTTTTATTAATTGGATATACAATTATATTACTTTGTTCAACATTAGTCAAATCTAAAATAGAGTTAGAAGTAGAAATTTAACCTTCATCCAAAGTATCATTGTAACTTATAGTTGGTAAATTTATGTAATTGTTGATGTCCATGCCTAATTCATCAAATATTGGAAAATCATCGATATCATTTAGATAATTCTCTAATTCTGAAGTACCACTTGGAGGACTTGACGAGTGTGTACTACTATCAGAATCGTTTATAACAGTCATGGCAGAGGTATTTGATTTCTTATTTAAAGATAATTCAGTCTCATCTTCAGTTTCAAAATCTTCTGAATCTGATAGAGGAAGAACTAATTTCAAAAGCTGCAATTTTCGAGACAAAATAATTTTTTTTATTTCAATACATAGATAGGTTACCTATCATAGCTATATGCATAGCTACCTAAAAAAAAATTAAATATTAATTTTATTATTTATTTATTCGCATGGCTTGTATAATGGTAAATAGAAAAGTAAAATACATGTAATAATAAAAAAAACTGTAGATAAATAATTTAAAAAATCAAAAATCAAAATAATAATTATACTATAATATTTTAATATGTTATTTCAGAATATATGATTCTGTACCTTTTTAGATACAACATTATGCATGAGGTAGCTGAACAATGTTTCTTATGAGATACAAAATTATACATGAAGTAGTTGAGCCAATGTATCTTATTGGATACATCAAATATCAACCATAAAAAAAACAATATTCGAGCGTTAAAACCTAACATTTAATTATATTAAAAAGACAATAAGGCTAACCTAAATACATTTTACATATTTCAGCTTGTCGCAAATATTTTTGACTTAAAACTTTCTAAAGTTTCAGTAAATCATAATGACATGAGTACACTAATTCTCGTGTAAAACAAATGATAACAGCGTAATCAATTTTAGCTATAATCAAACGCTATTAGAAATATAAACGCTTTGGAATATTTAGAAAAATTTGCAAAAGTTTTATAGAAAAAATAAATGTTATTTTTAAAATCAAAATTAACTGAATTATGTGTATTTTTTAGGACACAGTGTCAAGTTAAAGGTTAAAAATGATTCAATGTTTTCATTAAGGTCAATTTAAAAATGTATTTTCTGTATCGCTTATAATTATTTTATTATATCTCAATTAGACCTAACTCATCAACACAATGGCTACTACCAACACAATTAAATATGGCCACCATATTTTATGTATATTTAGTTTTTATATTCTATTAAATAACATTTTTTAATTTAATAGTTATTACTTTTTTTTTTTTTAGAAGTTATTATTAATAAAATAATATTTTATTATAATTTTACTGTCAATAGTTATAATTTAATTCATATTAACTATATTCAAAATTATGAAATACATTTTAAGAAATGTATTCTTAGAAGAAAATTATTTTGGAATTATGTCTTTGTAAATTAATTGTATTTTTTTTTTTTTTACAAATAAAATTTGATGTCCTTTTTCTTAGAGTAAAAAGAATTATGTTTTATACAATTTCTAAATGTAGGTTTATCCAAAAATGAGCTGTTACTGATTATAATGTTTTTTTATTATCATTATTATTTTTTATTTCGTATGGTTTTTAATACAAATCAACTTAACTATCAAACTCTAACTAAAACAATACATAACATGATATAGATATAAAATTACAAATATTAAAGGTGAGTCATTCTTGCGATGAGAATTTATAAACAGTTGTCGAGGTTTGTAATTCAGGTGATTGCCTCTGGTGTCTCTGCATGCATGCTGTCAAAATCTTAATTGAATTTTTCACTTTGGCAATCTACTACTAAATGGTTTATTGTTTGTTCCCTGTTTCCGCAGTCACGTATTGGGTTATCTTGGAACCCCCACTTAAGTAGAAGGTAACCACACCGACCATGTCTTGTTCGCAGTCTGTTTAACGTGGACCAGGTACAACAAGGAAAATTAATTCCTAGAACTTCAACATTAGGGTTACATAGTAGTTTCCTGTTAGGTGCTGTAAAGCTGGCCCATTCCTCAGCGCTATCAAACCCTAAACTTATCAGTGTTCTGGCGTACTTAACTGGTGGGCTATTGGATTTTAATCGTAGATTAGGTGTGAAGTATCATCTGATACAAGAGAGAGTGCTTGTAATCTACAGATTTTTTAATGGTTTTTACAAGTGCATCTTTCCTACATATGTATGGTGGTTTAATGCTTGCCAATGTCGGTAGCCATTGCAGTGGTGTAGATTTAACTGTCCTGCTTATTACTCTCATTACGTTATTGAGCTGCGTATCTATTTTCCTTACATGTGTGTTATTACACCAAACTTGGGATCCATACTCTGCTGTTCTGTAAACTAGGCTCAACGCTGCTATCTATAAGGTCTTAGCATCGATATTCCAGCCTGTTCTGGTAAACATTTGTATCAAGTTGACCTGGGACCGGATATTTTTACTGAGGCTACTTAAGTGCTCATTATATGTGAGCGAGCGGTTTAGTGTTACACCCAAATATTTAGGAAGAAAATTATGCCTTACACTTATTCCATCCAATTCAATCTCAAGTTTGTCATGTGCTTGTCTGTTATTGAGGTGAAATGTACAAACCTCTGTTTTCCGAGGGTTTGTCTTTAGACTCCAGTTGCGGAAATAAGTGTTCATTAACTTTACTCTGAAATACTATTGCAATGTCATCCGCGTATTGGAATTTTTTCGCTTCTATCGTTGGGATATTGTGCATATATAGATTGAACAATGTTAGGGCTAAAACTGATCTTTAAGGGACTCCATTATTCACTGTCGTCCATTTGCTCTTTTTATTACTCAGGTAAACTTGAAAACGTCGATTTGCAAGGATTTCTTCCAAAAGTACTACTAACATACTACAATTTATAACCTTACTAAACTTATACAACAGTTCATGTCTCCAGACCGTGTCATATGCAGTAGAAAGGTCAATGAAGGCTACGCTGGTTTTTAACTTCTTCTGGAAGCCAGCTTTAAGGTATGGTTAAGGCGAGGACCTGTTCTTTGTAACATTTATTGTTTCTGAAGCTCACTTATTCTATCGGTGTAATCTTGTTAATATGAGGCTGTATTCTCTCCAGGATGAGTTTCTTCAAGATCTTGCATAATAGTGATATTGGGCTGTAGTCTGCAGCCTCAGTTCCTAACTTTCCCGGCTTTAGAAATGCAATTATTTTAGTCCTTTTGAATTGTTATGGAATGTTAGCTGTGTCTAGTATGTCACTAAAGAATCTAGCTAGCCATTCACAGACTCTAGGACTAGCGTGTTTGATGAATTTGAGATAAATCCCATCAAAACCAGCTGCCTTATTTATTATGGTTTTGCTTGAAACTTTTTTAACCTCTTCAAGCATGAAGGGTACGCTAATCATAGTATGTTGAAGGTTTTTCTTTTATAGTCCTACTGTGATTCTTGTTTAATTGGATTTTACCCATTTCAATGAATTTCGATGCCACTTCGTTTAGATTCAAAATTTCTTGTTTCTATAAATATATATATAATAATATTAATAATCTGTTAATGATTATTACATTTTTAGTATATTAAGTATTATTATTAAATATTACCTTACATTATATGCTATACACAAATCCAACTAATTTTTTTAGAACTTGTGAGGGAAATAATTAAGTATTGAATTATATTTTAAATATTATTATTATTAATATTATTATTATTATTATCATTACATTACATTTTGGGATTTATATTATCCGTAATGTATAGATAACCACAACCGTTTGTCCATCGACGTCATTGTCAGACATTGGACTGACGAAAATATATGTAAAATTACTATTCACAATTTTTATTAATAGAGATATCAACCAAAAGTTGAGTCATTCATTCCTCGCCTTTCAATATCATTTTTAATTGATTTAATTTGTTGGTATTATTATATGTATGTGGAATTAAATTTATTATGTAATATATGTGGTTTTATTTTTCTTGTATATTTTATTACTGTGAAAATAAACTCACAAACTTTATCAAACATCTATTTTGAAATAAAAATATTGTAAGTTATGTAAATATAAGTTTTTATCTTGATACATTTTAAAATATTTTACTACATTATATAATAATAAATTGTATACTTTTTTTTCTTCCAGAAAATCAAAATCTACGCACAGTTTTTCGTAAGTATAATAATTTAAATTTTTTTTCAGTATATTATTAATTTTTTGGTAGCAAATAAGATTTAAGTACTCCAATAGTTAAATATATTATAAATTATATTTATAATTATATTTTTCTTATAAAGTAAATCAAACACATTTTTATTTTAGATAGAAATATTTTAATTTTCTCATTAACTTAAAATATTAGATTTTAAAAGTATAATACAACCTTGATTAAAAGTGATTGAAACTAAAAAAATGTTTAACATACTAGAACTTTATTTGCACTAATTTTTTCTATTATTGTTATTAATTTATTGATTTATAAGGCTTGTAATATTTGTATGTATTTATTAATATCTGAGTAAATTTCTTCTCAATATTTCTATAATTTAATAGGTATGTAAATTTTGGTATAATTGAGTTTTAAAATTTATCATAAGATTATAGTTGTATATTTTTATGTGTATAATAACTTGAATATAAATGTATATAATTTTTCTTAAAATATTTTATAAATAAAGTAACATTTATAATATTTTTGTATATTTATAGACTGTTGCCCAAAATTGTAAATGGAGGAATAGCCGGTATTATCGGTGTTACAGTAGTTTTTCCTTTGGATTTAGTTAAAACAAGACTTCAAAATCAAAAGCCAGGCCCTGATGGATCCTTCATGTATAGATCAATGTAAGGCTATAAAATAAAATAAACTATAATGTTTTAATTTTTTCTGTTAAATTATTGTAAAGGTTTGATGCATTTCGGAAAACATATGCAGCTGAAGGATATTTTGGAATGTATAGAGGATCAGCAGTCAATATTTTATTAATAACCCCTGAAAAAGCTATCAAATTAGCTGCTAATGATCAGTTTCGGCATTGGTTGACACCTTCCGGGTATATATAAAATATTAAATAATCAAGTAGAAGAGTAGAAATGTATTAATACTTCTAATGTTTAAGGAAGCCCTTAACGTTAATACGTGAAATGTTGGCTGGTGCAGGTGCAGGGTTTTTTCAAATTGTTGTTACCACTCCTATGGAGTTATTAAAAATACAAATGCAAGATGCAGGACGAGTTGCTGCACAAGCTAAATTAGGTAGTTTTACTTAAATTTTATTTAAATTAGGCTACAGTTAAATAGCTTTATGAGTTTTAATTAATCCATTTTATTATTATTAGTGCTAAAGACATACCGTGGTAACTGGATAACAATAATTTTTAAAAGACTTAAGTCAATTTTTCTATCTTGTTTAGTTTGTTGTAAAATTACCTTATTCAATTTAACACTTTAGTTGACTTGGTTTTGATCTGTTAATGTATCCATATTTTAACATACATTAAAATTAAACTTTCATGTACTTGATTGGTATTTGTCTATTCTTCAGTAACATAAAGTCAATTGTGAAAAAAGCTGATAAAATATTAGTTTGAATTGGTTTTATCAAAGAAAAAATCAATTTTATGGAGCTATCGTAATTTTCATAAAAAAAATTTATTTTAAGAAATATCAAGGTTAAGTTAATTTTTTTTAAAATATTCTGGTAATCTTGGATAGTAGTTGAGTTGATTCATAACTACCTATTAAAATATCAGCTTTAAATTTATAAAAAATCTGTATTAGTTTCAAAATTGTTATCAGTTTTGTTTTTTTTAGAAGGGAAAACTGTGCCAAAAGTTTCAGCGACATTATTGGCACGTGAATTAGTGGCCACTAAAGGAATATTAGGTCTTTACCGTGGTATTGGGGCCACAGCTATGCGTGATGTAACATTTTCCATAATATATTTTCCAATGTTTGCTCGTTTAAATTCTTTAGGACCACGAAAAAAGGATGGTTCTGGTATTTATTTACAAATTTTATTAACTAATTATCCTTAAAATTAAAATATAAAAATAATATTTTATTTTCAGGAGATGCCGTATTTTGGTGTTCTTTTGCATCGGGTTGTGTGGCTGGTTCAAGTGCTGCTTTAGCTGTAAATCCAATTGATGTAATTAAAACTAGGTTGCAAGCAATTAAAAAAGCTGAAGGAGAAGTAGAATATAGAGGAGTTGTTGACTGTTTTGTGTATGTAAATATTATTTATATGAATATGTTTTAAATACTAATTAGTAAACATTAATTGTTTTCTAGGAAAACATTACGTAATGAAGGTCCTTTGGCTTTCTTTAGAGGTGGTGCGTGTCGAATGATAGTTATTGCACCACTTTTTGGAATTGCACAGACCGTTTACTATTTAGGTGTAGCCGAAAGAATTATGGGTTTGAAAAAATGATAAAACAGTATTCAGTGTTAAGCAATAAAAATGTATCTACATTTAGTTCACTTTTATCCTAACACAGTATTATTGTTAGCTCATTTTCAATTTTTCATATATTTTTTTGATGCAATTAAGTACTTCAACGAAAATTCTAATAGGGTATAATAACTATCTACACCAAAAGTTTCATGGTATTATCATTGTTCAATTAAAATTTTCAATTTGGAGGCCAATAAAATTTCAGGGTTGTTATAAATTTTAGTTATATCTCTTTTACTGTACAATATTTTTTAATTTTACTATAGTATTTTTATGAAGAGAAATGTATTTGAGACTATGAAAAACAAAGTCACATATAGTAATTTAAAATGAAAACAAAAACAATCATTTGAAAATATGTTACTTATATAAGATTAAGAAATTAACTGTGATTATTTATGGACATTATCTGTTTCATGTACTTAAATGTTGCCTGTATTGCCGTGCATTCCGTGTCTTATGTAACCGTGATTTATATTTATGCCAAATTTTATATTATATTTATTATCGTAAATAATGTAGTATTATGCTTGTATTAATTAATTATTGTAATGATGTCTATGAAACCATAATAAGTGTAACAGTTAATATAATTAATAAAACAGTTATGTTTTTTGTTTGTGTATATTACTTATAAAATTGTTACATTCTATTTAATCCTTCAAAGTCAAAATCAAATACTGATATATTATATCATAAGTCTTCTGTAGTCCGTGGTACTGCTAGGTTGTGTTGAGCGTCTCCCTTATCGAGTGTCTTATCGTTCTTATATACCTAATTAAATAATTAATACCTAAACTATTAAACGATAACTTTTAACATTCATTATGCCTCCTATTTCACTGCTTGTTTCTAAAGATGATAAATTTAGTAAACTAATTGATATGATTAATAATTAAAATACTTAAAATAAAATCATATCTTCAATTAATTCATGTCGTGAATCTATTAAATCACAAGACAAAAAGCTGGCTTCTTTTGACTCCAAATTTGACATATTATCCAATCAAATTATTTCGGTAATTGAGGAAATAAGTCACTAAAATCGAGAATTGAGCAACTTGAGTCTTAACTGTTGTCAATTGAGCAATCTCAATCCAATACTCATTCTATCAGTCAAGAAAATTTGTTCTCTAAATTTATGGACCGACAATCAGAGCTCGTAACATTATATTATTTAATGTACCAGATCTTTCAACATGCTGTCCAACAAAACGATACTACCTACTCTTATTGACGAAATGTTTAATACTATCGGCGTTTCTACCAAACCTGTCTATTCATCGACTGGGTAAGCCTTCAAGTAAATCGCGTCCTATTTGTATTGTTATGCTTTCACCATTTGATATTTTTCAAATTTCAAAAGTCAAACAGCAGCTATTTAATGTTGATAAATTTAAAACTGTTCGAGTTTCATCAGACCAAACGTTACAACAACGCAAATTGTATTCTTTAGTTGCCTCGGAACTAAAATTGCGGAAAGATGCTGGTGAAACTGATTTTTTTTTATTAAATATGTTAATAACTGTCCGACAATTTCAAAAAAACGGTCAATTAGCCAAATATTTGTAAGTCAACTTTCCATTTACTATCAGAACATACGAGGTATTAATACTAAACTTGATTTGTTTAATCGTAATGATACTCTTTGCAATTATGATATTATTGTACTTACGGAAACTTGGTTATCTAACAATGTAATTGACGCGGAACTTGGTCTTAGTCCCTATATACTATTTTTCGATGTGACCGTTGCAGTATTCATGATGTTATTACAAGACGTGGTGGAATGCTGATTGCAGTTAAGAACCGGTTCTCATTCCATTGTCTTTCTATCTGCGATAACTCTGTTCAGCAGTTATTTATCCGAATTGGCGATAAATTTTTAGTTATTGGTGCTGTTTATATTCCGCCTGATTCTGATATTAATGTTTATGATATACACTTTAATACTGTCGATGTTAAATACAAATTGTATTGTAAACATTTTTAATTTTTAGTGATTATAATCTACCAAATATTAATTGGCAATCTGTTAATGGTTCAATTGTACCTGTGGGTGCTCGTACTGGTTCTATTGAATTTAATGTATTAGTTAATTTGTCTTATTTAAATTTAATTCAGTTTAATTTAATATATAATCGCTCTGGGTCATTGCTTGATCTTGTTCTTTCTAACGTAGTTAATGAAGATCACATGTTGCTACCATTAGATTCGATGTACCACCTAGCCCTAACAATTGAATTACATATTTTCTCATTTAAGTACTTAAACTATAATGAACAAATATATGATTTTTTCAACTGTGATTATAATTGTATTAGGTCTGGATCTTGCTTCGCTCGACTGGAATGGCATATTTAATGATCTAGATCAGTGATTTTCAACCTTTTTAACAATGGCACACTTCATCTCCAACAAGAATTTCGCGGCACACCAATCCATATATTATTTGAACCATATTTTATATATATATGTGTACTATTAAGAACCATTAAGAAATATGAAAAAGATAAAAGGGCTTCAGCATTTTCAGTTTTTTCATTGAAATTGCGCCTCTGCATTTAAGATAGTTTGACTAGAAGACAGAGAGTCTTTAAATTTCTATATAAGTTACATTATAAATTAATATATAGGTAGGTGCATTTATATTATTAAATTAAAGCTTATAGTTATTTCCAATTGATTAAATTCGGCTTCCTTAAACATGCTGACTAAATTATGACAAGAAGAACCGGCTACAAGTAGTAATTTTTTTTTTTGCTTTCTCGTGGACGAGCAGCGCCGCTTTTTTTCTTTTTTTTTTTGGTTCATCTCTAAAATGTTATTGTAGTTATAAAAAAAGGTTTGCACACGAAACGAAATACGAATACACACGTTACAAGTTACAACATTTGAAAGACGAAAGCGCAATAATCCGTACACATGAATAGATTCCACAACGCGTCGTTGACGAGCCCGTGGAGGCTTGGAGACACCATAGATTAACCATCTATTAACCATAGATGGTTAATCTATGGAGGCATCGACGAATGTAGTGTACCGCGCCAACATGCGTAAATCAACTCTACGCGCCGTACACATTTTATGAGAAAGCTGATAAACCAAAAATTTTTTAAAAAAAAAGAAAAACTTGAAAAAAATATATAGGTACTATTATATATATTTTATTTAATATATAATATATGAAAACATAATGCATACGTTAATTATAACGGCGCATTGGCGTATTAATGGCAGGCCATTGTCAAACATTTTAAAGTTAGAAATACTGTTACACACCCTGCCCCACCCCAAATGACGACTCTGCGAGGGACCTTCAACAATTCTTCTACAGTTCAACAACCCCTCAATGAAGACAACATCGAAGTCATTCTTACCTTCCTTCGTAAAATTAAAATATTTAAAAAATTGTAATACACTAATACCCAATGTACACAATAATACATTATTTTTTTGTTTAATTTAAGTAGGTTAATTACAATTATCGTTAAAGCAAATAAAAATAAAAATAAATGATATATTTTATTTAAAAAAATTATATTTAAATATTATATTGTCGGTCATTAATGGTCCTCTCAATATATTAAAAGTTATATAAAAAGTATATTATTTAATATGTGTTTGTTTTGTCCCGATTTCGCCTTATAAATGTATAGCAACCTTAATAATTGATCTACAGTAAGCCTTTTTTAATCCAGCATAAGTATATATTCCTGCATTTCTTTCCAATTGAGATACGTATGCACTTCTTGGTCTATCTGGTAGTGCTTATCACGGTCCGTTTTTTAAAAACCGGGTCAGACTAATACATTTTAACTAAGACCATGACCAGACCGATGAAATAAAATATGAAACCAGATCGGATTGAACCGTATCATTTAAATTTTTTTAGGAATTCTTTCCTAAATTTTAGAATGCGCTTACTAAAAAATACCGAGACCGGACAGACAGGGTTTGATCAAGAGAGGGAGAAGCTTTGGAGGGCTATAGCCCCGGGCCGCAAATTTGTAAGGGGCCACAACAAGCTGCACTTTTTTTTTCATTTAAAATGGCATCAAATAAATAATAATTATTGTTACATATTATGTTAAAAAATAAATAAAATGTTGTTATAATTTTCAACAATATACGAATAAACTAAACTTATTTTAATTAATATTTATTACAAATATATCTGAAAAAAAAAATTAAATTATTTTTTGTAAAAGGGGCTCACTAAAAGTAATAACCCCCTCAAATTATGACCCATAAGCGTGTGCAGACATAACTAGCAGGGTAGTCAAACATAACACATTATCATTTAATATTAACAAAAAATTTGCATTCGTAACTTCATTTAACTTAAAAACTATATTTCTCCAGTATTCTTACATTTTTTTAACGTTAACTAATGTTTCGAAGTGGTTGAAAATAATATATTTATTTATTATTGTGATCATATTGAATATTTTGGTGAGGGTGGAAGATTTCACAGAATAGTCAAGTACCTACCCTAACTACCCCGTGTGCACGCTTATGTTATGACCATCATCCGGCCCTGCAGATATTTAAAAATAAGACACGTAAAGTTATTTTTGTGTCCCAAAACATGATCTGAGTAAAAATAACATTATTATGTTGGGTAATATTTTACTATGTAATGTATATACATAAAATCACAACAAATTGTTGTTATTATCATTACTATCATATTGAACCAGAGCCGGTTTTAGCTCTTTCAGCACCCAGTGCAAGAATTATTTTGGCACCCCTACCTCTTAAACGACCAAAACATTCAACTTAAACAGACAGAATTTGGGAAGCTGGAGAAGTTCGTTCATAATCAAAAATGCTCAAAATAATTTTTCAAATTACCATACTTGTCACATATTTGTAAATCATACAGAGAAAATCAGCCACTACTTGTATGTTGATATAATAATAAATAATAATAAAAATGACAAAATTAATTTATATTAAATCATAATGAGAAAATTATTATTATTTCTACTTATAGTAGATAATTTGCGTTTCTAACGTTTCATCAAATTTATTTCTAATTTTTACGCCTCTCACGCGCCCTTCTGATTTTAGCGCCCTGTGCCGTCGCACACGTCGATCGTATCTAAAGCCGGCCCTGTATTGAACTGAAGACGGACAGACCAGAGTAGCTTAATTTTTTTTTTTTTTTAAAAACAAACACCGAAAAAAACCAAATCATGATCCGGTCTAGACTAGACCGTGCAGAGCAGTAAAGCTTTGGAGGTTTTCGGCCTTCAATCCAACTTTCTATAATTGTGTGATGTAATTCTATGTTCTATAGTACTTCAAAATTATCCAAATGTATCACTGAAGTGTTAACTAGCTATTGTGTTAATACTATTATGTCAACAGGTACGGGAAAAAATAAAACTCGTGTGGGAATCGCTAAAATGCGAATAATGTGATCTAAAGATCGACAATGTGTAAAAGTTCTAAGTAGGTACTTGAGTATTTAATAGTATTCAATTCAGATATTAGTATATTTCAAGAATATATGATATACGATAAAATTAGTTACAGGGTTTGTGAAACAAAGTAATGAACTCAAGAATGAAGTTGACTAACGAGATAAGTTACAACTATCATATGAACCATACCATGAAGACTTATGAGATCACTTAAATTCATAAACTTAATTATTAATAATATATGCTATATATAGGGGCATGCTTAGAAATGTTTTCGGGGGGGGGGGGGGGAGAGTTAAATATTTATACGATCACATCATTTAAATGTATTTATTTTACAAAATAATAATTATGATAATAATTAATTTTGTAGTACTAGATAAATCAATGATCAAAGAATTGATGGTAACAAAAACAGAAGTTAGAGAAATTAATGGGCGATACAGGAATAATTAGGGAAATAATCGCAATGGATTATTTAAAATATCAATACAATTCAATTATATGGCTATTAGCAGAGTTCGGGACTCATAGCAGTTAAAAATACAATAATAAAAGCTAAAATATGCACTTAAAAACCTTAAAATATGCATCTTTCAAAAAAAAAACAAATAACTATTGTTAACTAGTTTCTTGAAATAGGTATCTATCCAGTTTTTTTAATTTTATTCATCAATTATATAATGATAGGATAAAATAGAAATTATAATTTCCATTTAAATCAATAAATTAATAATTTTGTATTTATGTGTCTTATCTTCGTTGTTGCACAGAATAATTAAATGTTTCCGCAGGTTTTCAAATGTAAATGCTCTTTGATTACAAAATTAGAACAAAAATGTAAAAATAATGCTCATTTTTTATATTTTTGTATCTATATAATTACTTTCCTTCAAAACCTATGAAATATGTACTTTCAAATTATAGATTTATTATCATTGCATAGAGAAATGAATTTATTTTTCACTCCGCTTTATTTTACAATATATAATAAAATTATACAAATGCTATACGCCCTGAACCCTGGTTATTAGTAACTAGGCACCATTCCATACTAATTTAATACAAATGTTTTCTTTATTTATCCTCATTTAAACTTTCATTATATGAATCAACCTAATAATAGTTTTATAAATCCAATTATACTGAGATTATACGTTCTTATTTAATAAATATTAAATGGCCAATAGTTATACCAGTAATTTGTTTATCATGAAATAAAATAGCAGATTCTAAAAGCATTCCAAATCTGATTAAATTAAAATTCCAGATTATTCTATACTACCATTTTTTTCTTTTGATAATCCATAGGTTTATAAATCATTAAAATTTACAATAAATCGTTATCAGTAGAAAAAAATCCCTATTCAATAAATTTAAAGTTTATAATCAGTATTTAACGGTAAGAATATTGTAGAAATAAGAGACAAAGCAGAAAAATAAAATACAAGTAACAAGTAACAATACCAATATAATGTGTATATTAATGAATTAAACAACAATTTACACTGTAAAACTTGTTACACTAATCTACAACAAAGACAAAAAAAAAAAAAAAGAAAAAAAGAGTTCACTTAAAATATGAAAACTCAAATGAAACAAATGGAAATTGATAGTCTAAACTATAAATATTGATGGGATGGTTGTAATTTATGTAATCAATAATTTATAATTATTAAATGGAATGCGAAAAAATATTTAAATAGAATGGTTTTTTTTTGTTGCTTTTTAATATGCATATTAGTGTTTTAGACTTTCTGCAATTATTCAGCAAACTTTCGGTTAGGATTGCGACCAAATAATGCAGTTCGTACAGCTGGTACCAACTGTTGCGCAATAAGTTCCAATCGTGATTCCAATGTGTTACAAATTTTTATTTTATTTTTTTGTGCCAATAACTCGATACCACCACATGTTTGTGGCGCCAAAAATGAATCAGTGTCCAACTTAAGATTCACTTCCTTATTGGATGCTGCTTTATAGTCCGCAGCAACTTCCTCTAATAAGCCTTCTACTTCTGATACATCAGTTTCACGGACACGCAATGTTACATTTTTCTCCAATAACTAAAAATTAATATAAAAATATTTGTAATCAGTTATTCAAAAATACCACATATATCTAACTAAGAAAATCTACTTTTACTTGTTATTTTTACCTTAAATGCGGCTACATATCAAATGTATATGGTGCATAAGTAGTAAAATGTGTTATAATTAATACAAGACTAAATTAGACAGTTGCAATAAATAACATTTAACAACAAAATTTAGACAACTTATACAATAACAAAAATACTAACACTTTCAAGTACTAAATGTATTGATTGTGCATAGATATTAAAATAATTAATGCAAATAAATAAAAACATAATTTATCCATAATAAAAGAAAAAATAAGTATACAATAATAATAATAATAATAATATAGTATAAAAAGTTAAAACTAAAGCTTATTCTGTAAATTAGGTCATGACCTATAATTAATAACTATCATGTTAAGGGTAATTCAAATATTAATAATAACAAAAATTAACCACTAATATGATACCTATATACAATAGTTTCTTTACAATTTTTAAATTATAAATACTTATACTGTAATATTAAATATAAAAATTAATTTTTTACTAACCTGTAAGATGGCTTGTAAAATTAATTTTTTTAGAACTTCTCTGTACAAATCAGGATTATTTGTCACTTGGACCAAACGCTTCCTAGCTTCATCTAATACATCATTAACATGATCTTCTCGCACTTTCAATGTCTTAAGACGAGCTTGATTTAACATGTTAGAAGATTGAATAAAAACATAAAATTAATTGTAACAAAAATTGTTTACTTCTTTTTATAAAATGAAGGTGAAATCTAAAATATTTAGAAATATAAAATTTGAAAATATTTGTAGCGATTTCTCCAATTAGATGTATATAAATTAATGCATTTATATTAAGAATAAATAATATTCATGTTTTTCTTAATAATTATACTTAGGTAATTAGCAATATTAGTTATTTTTTTCCTTAAATTAAGTTATTAAATTTACCAAAACACAATTTAACGGAATAACAATTACTGTAAATAAATAGTGAAGTTTTTTTACTTTAATGAACATGAAACAATCAAACTTTTGATACAGAAATTAATTAAATGATTAATACAATAATGAATAATACATTTTGATAAGCAATTGACAGAAAATTAATAAAAAAAATATAATTCTGGTTATAACCTTGAAGCCAATAAGGGTGTGTAAAATTAGTCCAAAACCTATCAGACACACTTACATTTTTTTTTGTAGTTCAACTTGTTTTTCTTTGCGTTCAAAATACTCCATGATCTTGAGCCGCTGGTGTTGAACTAGGCGACCTTTTTCAATATTGAATTCTTCTTCAGCTTTGGCATCAATTTCCTCAGCTTTTTCATTGGCCTCCTGTTCAATGAAAGCCATCATGTGTTTGATCTGGAAGAGTGAAAAAAATTGTGCATATAAAAGAGTGATCGAAAAACATGAAAAGTAATTCCATCACGACCAAGGATTTGGTCGTGCAATGAGTATAGCTGCAGTAGCCGATGAATGCTATATGGCTCGTGGGCTATAATAATAAACTCACTTGTTTTTGAACATCGGCATCGCTGAGAGCCATTTTTGGTGCTGGAAGTGAAACAAAAAAAAAGGAGCAGAAACGGTAAAAAAAAGTTGAAATTAAAAACAAATCAACTGAACGTGAAACAGAAGTTTGGGACAAGACGAGCAGCAGAACGGAACAACCAACGCCCAATGGCAAATTAATGTAAAAGTCGGACTGATCGAGCCGTAGAAGAATACATGACGGTATTATCAGCGTGTTATCAGGGGGGCGTTTAGGGGGACGGAAATTTCTGGCGAACAGAGGACAGAAAAATTGCTTTCGGCAAACTGGAGTACCGGGATCGTGGGCCCAGGGCAAGGGCGCGTGAAATACGAATTTTCTAACGAGCCCTAGACTCGAAACCTTGGGTCCATTTTCTCTTCCATTGGCAATCGGCCGTAGCGCTTTGTTTGCCCACCAATGTTATTGAGTTTGTTCCATTGTATAGGTCTACTCGCGTACGGCGGATTCACCAAGTCCTCCGTGTACATTATTATATCAACGAGCGTTACCGTCCCGCACCCCTCAGAGCCGTCACCGCCGTCATCATCATCGCAGCCTTCACCACCGCCACCGCTGCCGTACGACACAAGTGTCACCACCGCAACGGCTGCTGTTGTTTCGCGCGATTCAAGCCGACTGGTACCTCTCACACGTACCGTTATTATCAGTACTACTTGCTAGGTCTCTTATTTTCTCGAATTTTTTTTTTTTCGTACACTTTAATTTTCCGTCTCCTTTATCATTGTCGACGAGCACGACGCGATTGCGTTGCACACACTCGCACACTTGTGATCGTGTATACGCCGCCGCCGCCGCCATCATCATCATCGTCATCGTCGTGTAGAGTCCTTCCGCGTTCCCGTTTGCCGTCCGACATTTTCCCGCGTCACACGCAAAGCGCATACCGTTGTCTTTTGACAGCCACGAGTCTTGTACCTGCCGTCGACAAATCGCGCGCCATACGGACGTTTGCGTGTGTGTGTGTGCGCGTGCGTGTTTGTGTGTGTGCGCGCGTGCGAGTTTGTGCCAAAACGACCGAGACGACGACAATAACAACAACAATAACATCGACGACTACGCGACGGTAGCTAGCGTTTGATTCGTGTATTTGTTGTGTTTGCGCTCGCGCGCCATCAGATATCATGTCGAACATCATCGGACATCGTTGAACAACGGATTCAGCAGATTTTCCAATTCCGAGGCCTCCCTCGAGAGGTAAGCAAGTAGCACCCCAGTAACAAGACGCAAAAGGTTGGTCGGGAACGTCACCGCGGCCGCTTGCACGCCAGAAAGATAGGATGCATTTTTCACGGTCGCGTACCTCTACCCTCTTCTCGTTCGTTGCTGATGCTGTTTCCGTTTTACTCTTTTGTCTCCGAATGCGTTCCTTCAAATTTCCTTTCACCTAAAGCACCTCTCTTAACGTCCAACTTTGAACCTTCTTTGGACAGATTGCTGAGGGAAAATCTTTCAAGGGTCTTGAAATCACAGACCTAGGTATAAGATTAATGTCGTGTTTAAACATAGGTACTTACGGTCATGCTTACTACTAATTAGTAAATTTATTCATTTATGGAATTTGAACATCGCTGGACACTATTGATTAGTAACACATTTTTATTTTCTAGCACTTGATCAATTTATGTATAAAATGTTGAAGCATCATTATTTAGTATCATCTAAAATTATGGCCTACATGACGTTCATTTATCGTGTTCCCTTGATAGTTTTTGATTTTTACTGTTGAAGGGTATTGAAGTATAACAATTTAAAGAATTCTCTAAAAAAAGAAAAACTGGTTGTATATGTCTACAATTAATTTGTTTTCTAGTTCCTTAATATTTTTATTTCATTTTTTTTTTTTTTTTTAAGAATACTAAAACAAGAGTGTAGTTTACACAATTTTTTTAATGTATACTAAGCTGACTAGGGTTGGAAACATAGATGTGATTAAAACAAAATTGTAAACAAAGAGAATACAATTTTATTTTCCAAAATTTCAAAAAAATCTTTTGTTCTTATTTGACTTAAGATTTCGGCTATGGATTTGATATAGAGTTGGGTATTACTATGTAAAAGTTGTATAATTAGTTATATAGTGAAACTTATTAAAGATGAATTGATACTTTAAGAATTTTTGTTAATTACCAATTATAATTAGTCCTGCTACAATTGAGTTATGTATAACCTAATAGGTATCTAGTATAGATAAATTGTTAACTTGTAGGTGTACAATATTTTTTTTTTAATTTTATGCAATATTTTAATACAATCTTATCCAAATTGTGTAATATTAATATTTACGTTAGGTTATTTGATATCAAAAGGATTATTCATTTTTATGCATTCAATAAATAAATTATCATATATATACAATTTGTTGGTTCAATGTAATGCAAATAATATGCAAAGCAGACCTCATGTAAATATTTTAAAAATTAGTACTATAGGTATACGTTTATTATTTTTTACTAACTTATAAATCCCGTTATGAATTGTAACATATTATAAAATAAATGTGAGCTTTAATTTACTAAAACAAAAATGTAATATAAATACAATACAAATATTTGAAATTAAAATCATATAATATCTTAATTATCTAAAAAGCATTTTATTTTATTGTTTTATCATTTATTTATCATTGTATATTTATATGAATATTTTGCTTTTAATTTGTTCTTTTCCCACATAAAACAATTCTTTGAAAAAACACATGCGCATTTGTGGAATAACCTGAATACAATTTTTTTTTTTATAAATGACAAATCATAAATACTGTTGTTTGGATTTGGACCTAAAAATAGATAAAATATCTTATTCTGAAGTCAGTAATAAATATCTATTCCATTGAACAAAAATTGTTGTAGAAAATTAATTTATAAAATACTTGAACAAATTGTCATTATTTTCAGTTTATTGCAAGTATCATAAATGTGTAGTATCTATTTATCATAAACAATAAAACTTTCTAAATATAGAAAAAAATTTAGTCATAATACTATTCATAATTTACTATGGTTGAATATTGTTAAAAAAAAAGTTGTCATTTTTATGTGTAGGTACATAATAATAATTATTAAAATTACCAAATTTAATTGGTGATTAAACTAAGGTTGGGAAGTAGATAATCATTAAATATCTGTGTTTCAATTTTATTGCATAAATAGTGTACTGATAATTTTATTATTTGTGTATGTTTCAAAACAAAACCTCAGACAATAAATAATTATTGTTATTATATTGAACCAATCTGTTTAAAAAAAGAGAGATTTCATAATATTTTTATCATAGTATGTTTAATAAAAAATTAAGCCTGAAAAATGTATTTGATGATTAAAATTCATACATGATTTTTACTGTAACTTTAATACAACTTTCTACAAGAAGTTCCATGATGTTATACTATTTGAAAATGGTGGCGTAATGAAAACTTTTTACCAACTACAATTTTAATCTTTAAATTCTCATAAAACACTTGTATATTTCTGTAGATATGATTATTACAGAAAAAATAATCTATGACAACAATTATTTGAAATGTATTCCTTCATAATTTTATTTATGATATTATCAGATATGCTTTCCCCATGATTTTTATTATGATTTATAGAGCTAATATTTTTATTTATTTATTTTTTTTCATTAGATTTTATTCAATTTACTAAGCTAATATATTAAGGAAACTTCTTTATTAAACGATAATATTCCAAGTTGAAAGCTTTTATGTTTTGTTGGCTATTAATTATTGATAATTCACGTTGTTTTCTTCTTAACATGTATAAAAATTATTTTAACCCAGCATAGTAATAATTAATTGCCTGTATTTAATTTTTAATTGGTGCTTAAATAATAATTCTAATCCTGTCCAACAATTTTTGGTAGTATGATGAGTAGCTGGGATTTTAATGTTCTAGAAAATAGTGAAAAATTCTTAAAAAAATCATAAAAAATGCACTAAAAAAATTATTTATTGTAGTTTAAAATTGATATTATAAAAACGTATTAAATATATTTATTTAACTTAATAATAACAAAATAGGTACCTACTCATTTGTTTATTTAATATTTATATTTTATTCAACTTTATTTAAATTTAATTTATTTCATAACTGTTATGATCGTCGTTGAACTCTTATAAATAGAAAAATTTCTTTCAACTAAATTAATTTTGTTCTATTTTTGATAAAATAGGTATATGGGTTGATGTGCTCAAATTTATTAGTAATCAATTTAGTAGATTACACACTCAACATGCAAGTTTTAAGCAAATAAATGTCGAAACACAATTGAACACCCTAATATTTAAGAATTTTTTAAATAAATTCTTAAAAATGCCCTAAAAATGCATATAAAGTTAAATTCATCATAAAATACTAAAAAATGCAGGGTCGGACATGAATAGGTGGCTAGAGAGGCTGAAGACTTTCCATTAAGAACTTAAATCAATACATACATTATATCAATCTCATAAAAAAAAAAAAACTAATATATATTTATGTGCTATTCGGTGGGTCGAACGCCATGATTCTGTTATAACTTTTTGAGAATTTACTCTTATATTACAATTACTTTAGAAGAATTAGAAAAAATGACAGACTCTGAGACTGTATGTAAAGCTGTTAGCTATAGTGCAAATATTAGATGAAATTACTTTTTAAAGTCTTTAGAAATTTTAGCTGAACTATTCTCTTATACTAAAATGTTAAGCATAGTATTACAAAGTTCAAAGTTAGAGTTGTCTAAAGCTTATTCACATGTAATAGATGTCATTGATGTTATTGGAAATATTAGAGAAAATTCTGTATCTGAGTTTGAAAAATATTTTAAAAATGCTTCTGATAAGTCAGCTCTAATTAGTGAAAAAATAAGAATACCTCGTTTATACGGTCGTCAAACGACAAGATCCTATATTGACACAAGAAGTCCAATAAAATGGTATAAGATAAATATTTTTTTACCTTTTATTGATTATTTGATTTCTCAGCTAAATATAAGGTTCAATGAAAAACTTAGCGAAGTAATACCTTCAGAAGGTTTTATTCCATCAAATACTGATAAATATGATGAAGAAGATTTAGTTAAAACAGCAATGGTGTACTTTAAAGATTGGCTTGATCAAGAAATTGATATAAAACCAGAAATTTCAATTTGGAAAGCTAAGTGGCAGAAAGAAAAATATATAAAACCAGATACAGTCATGGAGGCGTTAAAACATTGTGATGAGTTTTTTCCTATGATATGAATATTATTACAGATATTTGCTACTAAATCGGTCACCACAGCTAGTCCTGAAAGAAGTTTTTCAACAAAAAAATAAAAAATTATATGAGGTCAACAATGAGTCAAAAGTAGTTTTAAATATTCACAAAGAAATTCCTGTGAATATCAGTGAGGTTATAGACATATTTTCAAAAATATCTAGAAGGATGAAGTTGAATGATTGGTCCGATTAATATATTATTTGACTTATTTTATTACTTTATTTATTAGTAATATATTTAAATTTTAATGTTCAATTAGAATATGATTTTTTTACTATCCAAATTTTAACACTTTCTAATATGTATTTGAAATGTAAAAAAATTTCAAGACCCCCTGGGGGGGGGGGTGAAATAAAGGGTATTTCATTCCTAGATCCGTCCCTGAAAAATTGCTACATAAAAATTACATTAAATTAATCAGTGTCCCTTGAAACACATTTTCTTCTTACAAACCTTAGTTGAGACATCAGCAAAAAAGATGCATTTTCATCAAAATCTTTGCCCCAATTATGAGATAAAGGTCCATTCAACATTTTTCTATAACTCTTAATTCTTGTGCTTTGTAGAATTGTTGGGTCATAAAATACTCCATTGAGAAAAATTGTAATTTTAAACTAAAATTTTCTCAATTATATTCAAATATTTACCAATAAAACTTTTAGTATTAAAAAGTCAAAATCAATGGATTTGTGACTTACAGAAATTCCTTTGATACCAATTATATTTTTATATAAATGTTGTTACTGAATAAAAATAAATATCACTTGAAAAATTTGTATCAAATATTTTAAGAATAAATTATTTATAATAAAATATATAAATTTATAAATAAAATAAGTACGCACTTACTCATAGACATTTATCCTGAATACTATATAACCTAAGCTTTTAACTTTGAAGAATACCCATGGGAGAATTCTTCTATTATAGTTTATATTGTGTATCAATTATATAATATTAATACTGTGTATGAATCATAGGTTATGACTTAAGATGACAATATATTGTATAACTGAAGTATAAAATTAAAAATAATTTTGGAATTGTTCTTTGGAATAAAAAGATAATATTGTTATATAGTGCATTACCAGCATTAAAATTAGTTCCAACATTTGCATTTTAAATTTAATAAGAGCTATCATAAAATGGGAAGGATATTATGGTAAATTTTTAAAATGTTATGTGCTATCAGTATTGAAAATCACTAGGTTTTTTTTAATGTTAATTTTTTTTTAAAATATTTTTTGTTCCTAAGATGGCTTATAATTTAATTTAAAGATCATTATTAAATTATCTTATAATACTAAATTAACTTAAACATACTTAAAAATTTTTTGTGTTTTTACAGCAAGCTGAATTTAACTCGTGTGCTTAGGCACATTACGAAGTTAACAACAGGCGCAACAGTGGCTACCGCGGCAGCAAGCCAATGTTTACACCGCAACACCAACAGCTGTCGCCTAATCGGGCGTCAATCAACATGCAGTCGCCCCAGGCCAGTAACTTATCGAGGGGTATATTTCAAAGAGGCGGGTTTGCGACCAACCCAGGAGCAGATAGGCGAAATCATATGCCGGGTATTACGTCACTCATGCAAGAATGGTATGTCCCTAAATCCTAAAAATAAATAAAGTGGTAACTAAAGTAATGTGTTAATATAATTTTATTAAGGAGTTTGACATCATTGGCGAATAACGCAATGAATAACTATGGTGGGTCAAGTTCAAGTAGCAGTAGATCTACGTCTGGCTACAACTTGTCCTCCCAACATGGTTTTCATTCGACATTCGGTAATAATCATGTTGACAATGTCAATGCAGCACCTCCTATACTGGACCCGTCCGAGTTTCCTTCCCTCACAACTGGACGTATATCTGGCAGTGGGCAAGGAGATAATATCGGTGTTCTACATTCCAGCACGATGCCTGCAGGAAAACCTTATGGTAAACATTCACCATTCAAATCATTTGATCAGCTGTTTAGTAGTGAGTTTAAATTGTTCTGTTTTTGTTGTAACTTAATGGTAAAAAATTTGTATTATGTGATGTGGAATATCAGTTCTGCTATAATTTATTTATTTTTATTATTATTTTAGTGGGAATGGTGAAAGCACCGACGTCCGAAACGAGCGAATTTACAATGAGTAGTAAAGACTTTCCAGCATTGCCTGGTACGCAACCTCTCAGTGTTACAACTACCTCGTCTACGACAACGGATCCAAACCAACAATCCTCAACAACAGCTTCTGGCTTGACAACCAATTCATTAGATCAGAACAGCTTACAATCATCTAGTGACCATTCGTCAGACCAGAGACTGAACAATCTGAATAGCCAAACGGACAACAATTCTCAAGAAAATGGGGACTCAGGAACTAAGAAAGGAGTGCAAACATCACCTGATGGTTTTTATTACAGATTTTCATTACTTTCGCTATGTTTGGTTCATTAGTTTAATCTCAATATTTATATAGGTAAAGTAACTAACATACCCGGAAGTATGGTACGTGATCAATTTGGTATTGTTGGTCTATTGACGTTTATCAGAGCTGCAGAATCCGATCCTAATTTGGTGTCATTGGCTCTTGGGCAAGATTTAACTGCACTAGGACTGAACTTGAACTCACCTGAAAACATTTACCCAACTTTTGCTGGACCTTGGGCAGATGCTCCATGTCGGCCGCAAGATGTAGAATTCCATGGGCCTCCTGAGTACATTATCAACCATGGTATCCGGTAAATAGTTCTCAAAAATTATTTTCTAGTAAAAATGTTGATAATTTAAATTCTTTTCAGGGATAAGTTAGCCCAAGTCAAGTTATCTAGGTATAAAGAAGACTTGCTGTTCTATCTCTTTTACACTAATTATGGTGATGCAATACAATTGGCAGCGGCTAATGAATTGTAAATGAAACTTAAGTAATTGTTTTTATTTACTTGGTGTTAATATAATATGATTTAAATTGTTACAGGTACTCTCGAGACTGGCGTTATCACATGGAAGAACGTGTATGGATTACACAAGCGCCTGGATTGAGTTTAATAGAAAAAACTAGTACGTATGAACGGGGCACATATTATGTGTTTGATGCGCTCACGTGGCGCAAAGTGCCCAAGGAATTTTTATTGGAGTATAGCAAGTTGGAAGGTCGACCAACCGTACCAAATGTGCCGCTCACCACTCCTAATCTACTTTGACACAACGAGCACCGTCGGGGCGTAGACGCACTGCCAACAGCGACCGAACCTGACGTACACCAGCCCGCGACGGTCATACTCAATGCAGCCATCGTCAACTCCTAAAAAGCCCTCCTCACCCCTTGAATCCCAATTATATATGAAATACCTATAGAACAATATTCTCTGCCCTTACAACAACACACTCCTTTGAAATGAAATAAAAATTCTACAATTATTTATAATAAAAGATAGATTTGCTGTAATTTTTTTGGTGATATACACTCACACCATAATAATTTAACATTTATTATAAATAATACAAAGTTATTTATAGTCATTTTATAAAAGAAACTTACGTACAATTTTGTAAAGACAAAATAAGCAAAGAAAAAAAATCATTCTTCATTTATTAAGATAATGTTATTTGTTTTTAAGTTGATAAATAAAATTTTGAAACAATATATAATTGTTTTATTTATTTTCTTATTTTTAATTTTTTTCATATCCTTTCCCCAAATTTTTTAATGGTCTATTATCAATAATAAATAGTAAATAAAGATTATAAAATCAAATATATATTTGGCATACTTTTGAAGATTAAACATTAATATGAAAGGAGTACATAAATAATGTATTCACATCAGTCGTCCATAAATATATAATTATAAAAAAATATTAATTTCTTAGTTTAGCAATAATTCAGGTAAATATTTTCTGATAGCTCCATCTCTGCTCGCAGTATACAGAAACCGTGTGTCTGTACAGACATCATAGATTGGGTCTGCGTTTGTTCCAGTCAAATATGCTTTTTTTCCACTGGTTGACCGTAATACACATGAACCGTCTCCATGTCCACATACCACCAGTTCTTTAAATAAACATAAACATCTAACAGGGGAATTGGTGTCATAAACACAGTGTTTAATGACTAGTTGTTCATTCATCCATATCACACGTCCATCATTGCAGCCAATAAATACTTGTGCATTGTCATTTAAATAACAAGCGTTTATGGGGCTGTCTAAATCATTTGTAGCAAGTGTTTTTCGTGAATAAACACCGATAAACGCAAGTATACCATTTTCACAACCAACTAATATACATTTGTCATCTGTGCCAACTTCTATTTCAACTGCAACATTATATAAATATATATATAATTATTAAAGGAAAATAATATTAAAAAAGATTGAATTTTATCATTAAAAAAAAAAAAAACTGTTAATCATAAATGTGTGTTGTTATCATAATGAGATTCTTTACCATCTCTCAAGTATATACTGAAATGTTTAATAAAATTAAAATGTACATTATTTTTATAGTATAGAGCTTGAGAAAAATGAATTTAAAAGTATTAGATTTTACTTAGAAAATAATTAATCAATTATTCAAATAAATAAATTATCAATGGAAATGGTCTCAATTAAAAAATTGGAAAATTAAAACAATAATTATATACAGTTATTTTATATAGACATAAGACATTTGTGATATTATTGATATATTTAGTATGAACACAACAATCTATTTTATAAAAATTGATAAATAATTTAGCAATAAAAATGTTTGAATATTCAATGATTTTTTTAAAAATAAATAAATTATGACTGTGAAATCAATGTTTTAACAGTTTCAGATGTATAAGAATTACAATTTATAGTTGTTGGTTACTTTTAAGATTAAACTTACATTTCCTTTGTTAGGTTAAAAATGATTTAGTGTTTAATATCAATTATTATTAAAATATTCCCATTAAGTTGTTTAGTTATATGATTATATTTTTCATTTAAATTATAATATACTAATAAAAAATTGGCAATTATAATTACAAGCAGGTATGTCACGCTCTCCAAGATTAATATTTTTTGGTGAATTTATTGAACAACAATTTATGAATGTTGTGGGATTAAACTTAACAAGGTCATCAATTACTTTTCCACTTGCAACATGCCATAATTTGGCAGTCCCATCTCTATTAAATTAATAAAATTATCAAAAACAATTATAGTTGACAGTTCATCGGAATGTAAATACTTGGAAACAGATATAATATTTCGCCCTCTATCAACTATAGCTAAATCTGTTACAGCTTTTGTATGCCCAGTTAATGTAGCAGCGCATTCTCCAGTATCAGCGGACCAAATTTTAATTCGTAAATCAGCACCACAACTTAAGACAACCTTAACACTGGGAAACCAACGACAACAATAAATATCACCATAATGACCAGTCATAGTGATCTATAAAGAGCAATAAAAAATACATTTGAATAATTTTTCAGTAAAAACTTGATATAAAATGGATAAACACAAATTTTAAAAAACCTTACTTCTTTTTCTTTTTCATAATCTAAGCTGTTCCAAATTTTTAAAACACTATCTGATGCAGTTACACACTGATTACCAATAACATCCATTGAAGTTATCTAAAATTTAAAACAAATTACTGATAGTACAATAGTAACAAGCTCAGTTAAAAAATATACATTGTACTTACACTGGTATTATGTACATCTTTGAAAACTCTATAAGGTGATAATAATGTAACCAAAGTACAGGAAGTTTGCTTTACTTGAATAGCATATGATGATACTGATTCTACTTCAAATCCATTTGTACCCTGTATAATTGGTAATCCGTTAACTTTGAGGGATTTACATACCAAGTGGCCATGTATACTAGGATTATCTAAAAATAATTCAATCATAGTTACAATTGGTATAGTTTTTTTATAACGGTTAATATCTGATTTTAGCACAGTGCAAGATAACTATTTTACAAAGCATGATAAAATTATTTAATATTAAAAAATAGTTTACTTCTCTGCTTAACAGAAATCCAAACTTTGTTTCCAATGGACCTAGGTGAAAAAATTAATAATATGATTATAATAATAGGTAATATTGCAATACTAGTATATTAATAAAAAAAAATAGATTTACCTGATACATTCTTCCCAATCATGTTGAATATACATAGAACACTCGTTCATAGTTATACAACGCTTAAAGTTCATAAAAAAAAAAAAATATATATATTTATTAAATTAATAAATGGTAGAGGGTAGATTGAAAAAAATCAAATTCTTTAATAAATATACTATACATTTTTTATAGTTGGTATGGACCACAATATAAAATTACAACAAATGGTTTAAATGAATTCAAAATTAAGATTTAAAGTATAGTTGATTTTAATAGGCTTATAAAAGGCACATTCTAAATTCATAAAAACGGATACTCCAAAATTAAACCTAATGTTTTTCTTTTCGTTTTCAACGGAAACTTTAATATACTCGTATGTAAACAAATCAAATTCGAACAATAGTACACACAAATTAACTGAATGTAGATTAGACAATAATGTGTTTACAAATCGACTAGCATTTAATCCTATGATAACAACCTATTAAAAAAATAACCCTTTAACTGACTTAATTATTCCTTCCTAAATTTACATAATATTACGAACAAATAAAAAATTTAATAATAATTATTTTTAAAATCGATATCTCTATTTTTTATCAATTGCAATTTTTCAATATTTTTATTAACTACCTACAAAGCGACATTGTCGAACTGATAAGAAAATGGTTCGACTGGGAGCTTTCCATGAGTTTACTTTTTCATTCATGATATTTTTATTAATTTGAAATTTATTTTTTTGGAATTCGTATCAAAATATGTTTGGTGAATATCTGTATAGAATTATATTATATTATATCGACATATTATTTATACATTTATACATTTACATATCAATTATATTATTTTGACACCACTTTTAATCTGTTTAAAATACTTTAAATTATGTATAGAAATATAAAAAACAAATTTTTAAAATCAATACATCAACAAGTTCTTACCCAAATTATTATTAGCGAGTTTGATCATTAGCAGTTGTTTATCTATTTCTTATTCAACAACATAAATGAGCCATAATCACCCCATTCATAGGATACTTATGCTGACCATTCAACTGTGATTTACATTCACATCATATTTCATGTATTTTGTTAAATTGTTCTTATGTTCACTCACCTAATCTGGTTTGTACTTAAATCTATGCTGTTATCCATCTAATTTATATATGTTTAAACTGTATTCACTCTATAAAAGCTATTTGGCGTTAATCTTATAATAAGAAAAAGAAAACATTAAAACAAAATATATTTCTTTGAGTATCCTTTTAAAGGTAAAATAAAGTTTTTTTAATTGAAAATAATCTTAATTATTTTATTATTCTTAGTTATTTACATTTTTATGATGATTACATTGATGATGAATAAGGAAATTGTTTGTATTTAGAGTAGAAAGAAAAAGCTTATGTATGAAGCAAGATAAACAGCTATTGAACTATCAGCCAATAAATCCTAAAGAATTATAATTATATGATATGATATTATTGTATTAAAAAAAAAAAAATAAGTAGATAGGTTAAAAATGTTATTATATTTCTAAAATCAGGTTTAATAAATCTTGTATAGGTACAGAAAATAAACTATTTGTAACATAAAATGACATAAATTAAATATTTCAAACTTCAACAATAATTAAAATAAATCATATATTTGTACTTTTTAAAAAACAGTCAATGATTTTTCAAATAACAGACTTAAATCCTCTTCTGATTGTTCTCGCGGAGCAAGTTTTGTTATTCTGTGCTGTGGTAATGTACCTTTCACTAACCCTGGAATATCGTCCTTAGTATATCCAAGTGCTGACAAACCATTATCAATTTTCATGTCTTGCATATATCCACGTATGACATCAGCTAATACCTTTCCAGCATCAGCATTTTTGATCCTACTGACATCAGCTCCCAATAATTTGGCTCCTTCAATGTGACGTTCTGGACTAGCTGATGATGTAAACTCAAACACAGCAGGCCCTGACATAATAACACTTAACCCATGAGGAATAATAGGATGATCAGCAATGTAGTCAACGGCTTGATATTTTTTCACATTTCCCGAAATTGGATAAGACAGAGCATGGCATAAATGAACACCTGCATTACCAAAACCTACACCAGCCATAGTAGAGGCTAAATGCATGCTGGATCGCGCTTCAAAGTCTTCGGGGTCATATACTGCCCTCTTGAAGTACTTTTTTATAACATCCAATGCGTATCGAGCCCAAACATCTGAGATGGGATTACGTCCCTGATAAGCAGGTCTTAAAATTGGATTAGTTGGGCGTGGTGACCTCTCGTTGTATGGTACAGCTGTGAACGATTCTAATGCATGACCAAATACATCAAAACCACTGAAAGCACAAACTCTTTCTGGTTGAGTTAATGCATGCAAAGGATCAACAATTCCTAACGTTGGTCTTAAAGCTCGATTGGCAATACCAGTTTTAGCTTTCAACTTTTCATAATCAAATATGCAGACACCAGTTGTTTCACTTCCTGTTCCAGTGGTAGTCGGTACAGCGATCAGTGGTTTTAATGGTACAGTAACTGGTTTTCCTTTACCAATTGGTGGATTAACATAATCCAACAATTCTGCTTCTGGATCAGAATAGTATAAATTGGCTGCCTTACAAGTGTCCATGACAGAACCACCACCAACAGCTATGAATGCATCAAATTGCAAGTTACGTACAAAGTCAGTAGCGGCCTCAAGACTTTTCTCATTAGGTTCTACTCTAATTTTATCATAGAGGTCATATTTTATACCACTTTTGGTAAGAGAGTCAAGCACTGCTTTTACTGGCGATAAGTTGACTAGATTTGAGTCCGTCATGACACATACCTGTTTGGCTTGCATATTAACCATATCCATACCCAATTCTCTGGTGACACCTGGTCCATACCTAATAGTGGAACATGCCATTTCAAAAGCATACTCTTTTTGATCTACAGTTGAACTGAGCCTTGTTGGTAGATTTCCTAGATTAGAGTGAGCTGGACATCTACAAGAGACAGAGTTAAGCGTGTCCATTAAGCTTATTACTCTAGACCTCATGTTGAAGAATCTAAAAATCGTGAAAATAATGTTATTTTAAAAAGTAAAAAATAATTTGACATGGAGCACTTACCTTCAAATCAATTCTGACAATAAAAAACCAATATTACTCGTATTTCTTAAAATAATTCCCTACGATAATTCACCTTTTGAAGAAGACTAATGATGGTTCACAATTTTATGATTCATAGACAGTGATCAGCGATTGTTGGAAAGTGTTGGATATTTTAAGGTTCTGAAAGATTAATCTCTAACTAGTGCGTCATTAAAATAAAATTGATAACAATATCGATGGGTTCAACAGGTGTTGGCAACAGTTATTATTCGCCTTTTTTTTTTATTATCGGATAATGCGTACCTATAATTTCTAATTTCTGATTGAATAATTTTAATATATTAGTATTTAATAATATTAATCAACTTAAAAAACATAATTTTATTTTAACTCCTAACAACAGTCATATGATTCTTTTTTAAATTTTAATTAAACAAAATAACTTATTTAAGTACTTATTAATAATAATTTATTTCACTTATACATATCAATTCAAATGTACTTTACAAAGTATAGCTGAAATAAAAAATTCTTAAATACTTCTATTTTATCTCAAAGGCTCAAATGATGTGAGTCATTTACATAGGCGTAACTTGGAAATTTATTAGGGTGGCAAAAATAGAATTACATATCTAACGAAAAGGGTGTCCGAGGTGTACCTACATTTTATTATATACACGTAAAATTATTCATTTTCTAACATTATGTTAGATAAGCAAAAATTTAAGATTAAGATTTAAAAAAAAATTTGTATATAATAGCTATAACCAGCTGTTTTGTACTTATTTTAAAACAAGGTATGTTAAATATAAGAGGGGGCAATGCCCTTCCTAATTTATTCTAGGGGGCAATTGCCCTTCTACCAGTTCACGCCTATGGTCATATATGACTAGAACGAATATTTTGTAGCCCCGTTCGACGGAATCTGAGAGTTTTTGGGTGACAATAATTTACTGTATTTCAAGACTACGTCGTAGTTTTGTCATTTAATAATTGTATTGTTAAAATCAAATGGATAAAATATATAGCTGTTAGATCTATTGTAAATACTAGGTATTCATTCATATTTCCCGAGAACATTTTCTTAAACTTCAATTAGCTACGTTCTTACGTCACTAAATATTTTTATTTACGTCAAAAAAAACGAACGTGCTTATCAACAAGTTGAGAAAATGCTCTTTAGACTTGCATTTTTATTAGTAAAAATGAATGATAAACAATTAAACTAATTATACTTGTAACATTATTTGACTTCTTAATCTACGGTTGTTGTAGTTTAGATACCCAATTTACTCATTTAGTCGAGTTTGAAATCTAAATATATTCATAAATATTTTATTTTTTACAACATAAATATAAATGTATGTATAATATATGTGTATGTTATAATATGCGTATACAGTGCGTGTCAACTGCAATTAAGTAACACCATAAAATTCTTATTATTACTTATAATATAAAGTTTTTTAATACTTTGTCCAGATCCCATTAAATATAATTTCTATATAATGTGGACCTGGTCAAAGTACTGAAGAACGTAATGTTATAAGTCAGAGGCAGATAAACGGGGGGGGGGGGGGGGGGGGCTAACCCTCCTTCCTTCAAAATCAGAAAAAATATATATTAAAAATCAATAATTTTATGAATTAAGAAAAAAAGTATGAGGGAAAGTATATAATTTGTATTTTTATTCTTACAAGAAATTAGTAGTCTTAGATTTAAATTAATGTATTATATTACTTACTATTATCTTAATTCATTATCAATCACTGACTGCAACGTTATAAAAAATATCCCAAGGGAAAACATTTTTCAACCCCCCTCCAACCATAAAAAAAAGAATATCCTGAATTCGCCACTGTTATAAGTAATAAACATTTTTGAATTTTTTAACACTTCTAGCAAACAATTTACAATATACACTTCAGTCAATTAAATTTGAACGAAAATGTTTAACCAATTAAATACCAAATTAATAAGAATTTTTTTCATTCCATCGGGTATTTTTATTTTGTTTTCGATTAACCCTTTGTCGACCGACAGTACTCATAAGTCCACTAAAATAAAATACGTATAAAATATTAGTGAACAATATATTTGTGATTCTCACTGGTCGGTATTTAAGAGTACCATCTACCGATTAAATAAACATTATTTTAAAATTGGTTGTGCTATTATTAAACATTTTATCGGCGATTAATTTCGGGGACTGCAGTATTCAACACATGTATATGACTTGGTGTTTTTCCTTTCTATTTATATATACATATTTTGTAATTTGATCAAAATAAATAGTTTTGTATGTTTAGATATATGTCTAGGTGTATTATATTGTTCGGTTAGCTCGAATTCATTATCGATATAACGAAACACTGACAAATAATAATATGGACTTATAAGTACCATAAGTACCATTGGTATATCACAGGAGAAATTTAGTCTGTTCTCAACTCGTCTTTGTCGTGTCGTGTTGCTAACTACCGTCGTGCTTGTGAAATCGTTTTTTTTTACGTAATATATAAATAATTTTAACAACAGCCCGAATTATTTAACCATAATTACTATTATTTTTTAAAATTTCAAATAATAATGACAATGTGTTACTTCAGTGGTTAAATGAAGACAAATATGGAATCATAATTTTTTTCAAATTATTCAACTAATACATAATTCAAAATTGTACCATTCATTCACACAAAAAAATAAAAAATGTATAACAAATAAAAATGTAAAAAAAAAA